TAGAAAATGTAATTGGAAATTAGATACTACCTATAGTAGTTGCTAAAGCTGTAAACGATGAAATGACTTTTCAAAGAATGCAAAAAAGCTTTACAGGTAAAATCTTAAACCATTTAAAAGGAAAAACTAAAGACCTTAAAAGCACAAACCTTAGGTGAAAATTGATTACTACAAAATTAAGGATTTTTTATTAGAAGAACACTATAGATAAAATTAACAAAGACTGGGGAATGATATCTGTAATGTCTTAGTACAATGACAAATTAACACATAGACTATTCAAACAAATCTTGCATATCAAAAAGAAAAAGATAGAAAATCCAGTGGACACTTAGGCAGAGGCTATTAATATGTAACATCATTGTTCTATTTCAAAGTATTTGTTATTCTTATATCACAAACTTCCTCTTAAAGCACCTTACAGGTGGAAAATCTTTACTTTTAAATATTTACTTTTCCATTTACATTTTATTCTTCCATCTTAATTTGTTTGTGAAGCTTTTCTGTGTTTTCTTCTCTTGGAGTTTAAGACTTCATGGGTTGGAAGATTTAAGTCATTTCATCTGGAAAATTTAATGATTATTTCTTTGAATATTGTCTTCTTAAAGTTTCCATATTCTCTAAAAATTCCAACTTGACTTCTGTAGGTAGTTCTACTCTATTATCTCTTTCATATTTCCCATATGCTTGTATCTGTGTTTCACATTATGCAAAATAATCATATGCATCTTTCAGTTTATTAATTCTTTCTTTATTGGATGTGTTCTGTTGTTTAACTACCTTTTGATTTTAAATTAAAATTATTTCATTTTTCATTTTTATAAGTTCCATTTGTTTTTCCCCCCAAATTATCCTGTTAATGTTTTATGGTTTTTTCTTCCCTGTTCATATTTTAAATTCTTAGGTAAGTAGTTTATTTTGAGAAGTGATCTCAAGGAACTGAGGAAAGTGAAACATTGAAGGAAAGCTAGTGTTATGGTCCCTTATAGATTGAGCTGCACTGTGGGCATCGAGGCCTCAGTTCCATCAGGATCATCTAAAGAAATATCACTGTAGAATTATTCATCAAAATGGTGAAAAGTAGGATCACTTATTCATTAGCTTTAATGCCTTATCAGTCAGGGGTTGCCCTGGAGAAGGTGGTTTTCCTGTACTTCCAGATGATGTGTATATAAGTGCTTACTTGATTTCTGAAAGCATCCTAACTGACATCAGAGAAGCTGAGACAGAGGAGAAGAAATAAGTGCAAAGCGCTACCATATAATTGCACTACTGTCTTTGGGGTATGTATTAGCTTTCCCATTGCTGGGAGAAAATGCTGGACACACACAATTTAAAGGAGAAAATGATTAATTTGGCTTATAGTCTCAAAAGGTTCAGTCCATGGTTAGTTGACTCTAAGGCAGGAACATTATGGTAGAATTGCATGGTGGAGGAAAGCTGTTCACCACAAGTTGGCCAGGAAGCAGAGAATGAGGAGGCGCTAGGAACAAGAATACACCCTTTCTCGTCATGCCCTCAGTGATCTCCCTCTTTTTTTTTTTTTTTTGGTACCAGGGATTGAACTTAGGTCCTTGAGCTTGCGCAGCAGGCAGCAAAACCACTGATCTAAATCCCTGGCCTGATCTCCCTCTTTTGACCAGGTTCTACCTTTGAATAGCACAGTCACCTATGAATTCATCACTTTATAAATCCTCTGCTGAATATAGCACCCCTATGATCCAAACACCTTCGGAACGCATGAAACATTTGGGGAGACATTGTAGATCTACACTATAACAAGGTGTTTTACTTAATTGTGTTTCATGATATTCTGCTATGAGATTTTATTCTTATGTAAATTATCTGTGAAATTACTTGGTGATTGAGTTTAAGGTTGGCTCCTTCAGTCAGTTTGCTTTTGATTCCACCAAGCATTCTGTGTATGTGAGTGCACTACCAACCCACAACCATTTTAAATCACACTCTTAATCCAACTCTTTTTTGGAATTTGGACAAGAATCTCCAATGAACTTCTGTTTTGTAAATTCTTAGGTGAGATTTTTTTCTTCTCTAGTGGCACTCTGTATTGAGAAATCATTTTTCTCTTTTTGTCTCCAATATGAGAATGTGAGGTCTGTGGGTCCTGCTTGCACTGAGGTCCTTGGACTCCTCAGGCAGGGCTGGCCCTGGATTTTGACTTGTATCCTTGTACCAGTGACCCTATAAAAATCAAAGATCAAAGTCATCAGCATAAGTGAATATTATTAGAGAACTGACTTTAGGGTTCAGCTTGTCTCTCTGGGTTTCATTTTCCTTTAATTTTAGGCACTTCAGTGTGCTGTTTATTGTCACATTTTAACAAGTTTTATCCTTTTAATTTGGTGCATCAATCTTGGGTGTTCTCAGTGGTAGGATCAGTCAGATTACCTAGGCTATAATATTACCTGAAATGAAAATATTCATTATTGGTTTTAAGTCAGAAAATGAATGAAATTTTTCTTAATTCAGGAAGTCCTCTCAAATTCTCATTGATACCCCAGGATAATCAGAGCATGAGCTAGAGAATCAGTCTGCCTAGATTGGATTGTTTTAATATTTGATAGCTGTGTAGTCATGGGTAAGTTAATCAACATTCTGTCTTCTCTTTTTTCTAATCAGAATAGTAGCACCTACTTCATAGGGTTATCATGAGAATTTAATACACTAATACATATAAAACAGGCTATTGAAAAATATTAGATGTTCAACATATATTAACTATTATTATTTGTTCAAGGTTACCATCTAGCCAACCTACTCTTTCACTATCATTCATTATCATTGATCACATATCACATATCATACTCATTCACTATCAATGCATATCATGTATTCTAAAACTCTCCTCCAACTGTAATTAGCAGTCATTCTCAAGAGCATCTGACCATCACTTAGGGATAAACCACTTGTAACAGTTCCTTCCTCATCTGCTGTTTTCATTTTCTTATCTAAAGTTTAACAGAGTTCTTTGAGGGAGCAGAGGGACCCAAACAGCATTACCCCACCCAGAGATAGGACTTGCAGCACTTCCATTTCAGTCCCACCCCCGCCCTGCTAATACTGGTGTCTTAGTCTGTTTTGTGCTGCTATTACAGAATGCCTGAGATGCCTGAGACTGGGTAATTTCTAAAAAACATAAATTTATTCTTACAGTTCTGGAGTAACGGTCTTTATTGTGCTTAATGATAGTATAGCAACTAAGGTTCATGTTACATAAACCATTGCCCCACAAGCACTAATCAACAGTATGATAAGTCCAAGGCACTGGTAGGTTAGGTGTCGTTAAGGGGTTACTTTCAGCTTCTAAAATGGTGCCTTGAATCCTGCATTCTCCAGAGAGGGTGAACATTGTTTTTCACATGACAGAAAAAAATGGAAGGGACAAATTGACTCCTGGAAGCCCTTTTATTGTGGCATTGACTCATAATTTACACACCTCCCATGAGGCTCCACCTCCCAGCTGGTTGCAATGCTCATGAAGATTTCAGTGTATGACCTTTGGTGGGACAAATGTTCAGGCTAGTACCTAGTAATAGTGACATCAGAACAAAAGTCCCAATAACAGTCTGATCACAAAATGTAAAGCTATCAGATCTAGGTTTGATTCTGTACTGATCTAAATGATGTTACTACCTATTACCTCTCAATGTTGTGATAATTAATAAAAATAACGTCCTTAAACTTACTGGTAACTGTAAAGTTCTCAATTGGTACAAATACTATTAAGAGGTTGGAGACCTTTGTTTAAAAGATTTTTTAAAACAACAGCAACCCTTTATGTACATTTAGAGGAAACAAGTGTTCTATTTTTGTGCTTGTTAGGACCATGGGTGATGCCACATGAAGCTGTAACATTATTAAACATGAACTGACATCACCACACACAACAGTATGTTCCTTCATCAGACTAAATGCAGTGATCATTAACTTATGCATGGGAGGCTAGAGTGTATATGTCAACACAGAGTTCAGCTGTATGTCCCTATTCCTCTAAGTACTTGTGACATGCTATGTCAAGAGTTCAGTGGCTGAGTTTCACTTGGGGCAGTGTGATTCATCGGGATTATTAGGATCCTCCTGGAATAACTTTCCTGAGTTGATTGCCTTTGACAGATCAGTTTGCTTAGATTAAAAAGCAATTGCTGCTGTCTAGTCAAATTTAAACACTTTGGCTAGAAGAAGTTGAACTCTAACTCTGTCCAGTCTATAAAAACACCTTGATGTGAAAATTACATTGAATGTAGTGAAGAGGAAACTGAGTTAGCAAGACTGCAGAGTATGGTTTTGTAATAATGCAAGGGAGCATAAATAGCAAACAAAAGTGATCCCGGCATATGTGAGGGAGACAAGAGTAAGACAAGCTTTTAATAGCAACTTTATTTGTGTTCAATGTACAGCCAAGTCATTAACAGTGTCTCAGGTACTACTCTGCTTTATATCAATGTAACACTGACCACCAGTAGAATTAAAAGTAGAAAAGGTTTGTCTTCTAGGCTAAACAATGAAAGGTATTTTGGGGTATAAGAATCTACCTCTTTCCCCTTTCTGAATGGAACCAGGAATTTCATAGAAGAAACAAAAGCACCACAGGAACTGAAGTAGTAGTATGTTAAAATCTAAATCCTATTTTAAAAAAACCCCCCTGAATGGAATATCTAATTTAAATGAAATCAAAGCCTAATGTATGAAGTTACATTCCCAGCCTGCATAAACTGTAAATAAAATGGAAGCTGAAGTGGTATTTAGCTGATATCCAACCTGTAAGACATGTAACAAACAGAGTTTTGAATATACTATGAGAAAGAGGAGAATCTCACATACCCTCACTTTCACAACAGCTTACTTTTATATTTAGATTCCTTGATTTCCTCCCTTTTTATTAGTATATGTTTATGATATGTAATGAATATATTCCTTGTGAGGAATTGGCACAATATACCTACTACAGATTGGTTTTTTTTTGTTTTTTTTTATGTGCAGACTAACTGGAATGCTTAGAGTGGAGGAGATGCGAATCTTGTCTTCATGGGCTCCTCTCTTCTCTCTTGGCCATATAAAGTCCTCTGTGAGCATAATCCTTACATTGACCTCGGCTACAGAAAGCATGACTTATATAGACTCAGTTGCATGGAATTTGGTGAAAATTACCCTTGCAACAAAGAGTATTGTTACCATGTCCACATATCCCTGGAGTTGTGCAACTATCATGATGATCTAAGATTAAAAAATTTTCACCACCCATAGGAAGCCCGGGTACCCTGTTAGCAGTCACTCTCCAAATCCTAGGCAACCACTAATCTACTTTCTTTCTCTGTAGATTTGCTTATTCTGTACATGTTGGATGAGTGGACTCAATCAATACGTGATCTTTTGAGACTGATTTTTTTCTACTTAACATAATGTTTTCCAGATTCATCTCTGCTTTTGTATGTATCGGTATGTCATTCCTCTATTGCTGAATAACTATATCCATTGCAATTATATAGCACATTTTACTTATCTATTCATCAGCTGATGAAAATTTGTATTATTTCCACTTTTGGGTTATTGTAAATAATGATGACATAGAAGTTTTTGTATGGAGGAATGTTTTCATATCTCTTGAGTAAATACCCAAGAATGTAATTGCTGGTCATATGTTAACTCTATATTTACTATTTTGAGCAGCTGCCAAACTGTTTTCCTTCCCAACAGAAATGTATGAGGGTGTCAACACTTATTATAATCTGTCTTTTTTATTATAGCCATCTCAGTGGGTATGAAATATGATATATTGTGGTTTTGAGTTGTATATTACTGTGACTGATTTTGGTTGAGCACTTTTTCATGTTCTTAGTGGCCATATGTCTATCTTTCTTTAAAGAAGTTTTATTTAATTCCTACTTCACTTTTAAATTGGGTTGTCTTATTATTGAGCTGAAAATGTTCATTTTTATATCTTCAGTACCAGCACCTTTATTAAATACATGATGTAAAAGTATTTTCTGTCATTCATTGGTTTACCTTTCCTATCTTGATACTCATTTTGGGTAAAAGTTTTAACATTTTATGTAGTTCCATTTACCTATTTTTTTTTCTTTGTGGTTTATACTTTTGATATCATATGTAAGAAAGCAATATCTACTCCAAGGTTAGAGATTTATATCTATGTGTTCTTTGAATTCTGTAGTTTCGCCATTTTGATACTGTCGAGGAAAATCAATTGGTCACGTGTGTGGGTTTATTTCTGGACTCTCACTTCTATTCCATTTGTGTATTCCATGTATCCTATATCAGTATTACACTTTGATTACCATAGCTTTGTAGAAAGTTTTGAAATCAAGATGTATGAGTTTACTAAATTTGCATTTGTTTGTGAAGTTTCTTTTGGTTATTCTAGGTCATTTCCATATGAATTTTAGGATTATTTTGTCAGAAAGCCAGTTGGGATTTTGATGGGGATGCACTGAATTTGTAGATAAATGTGAGAATATTGCCATCTTAACAAGTTTTCCACGTCTTCTAGAGACCATGAACATGGGTTGTCTTCCAGTTTATTTAGATATCTAATTTTTTTCCAACAGTGTTTTGTGGCTTTCAGTGCACAAGTCATACACTTCTTTAGTTAAATTTGTTCTTAAGTACTCTAAGAATGAAATTTTCTCTTTATTTTCAGAATGTTGGTTTTAAGTATATAGAAATACAAATGACTTTTGTATATTGTTCTTGAATCTTGCAAACCTGTTGAACTTGTTAATTCAGATAGCTTTTTATGAATTCCTTAGTATTTTCTGTTTACAAGATCATATTATCCAGAAATAGAGTTTTATTTCTTTCTTTCCAATGTGAATGAGTGTCTTATTTCTTTTTCTTTCTTTCTTTTTTTTTTTTTTTTTTGATACCAGGGATTGAACTCGGGTCCTTGAGCTTGCGAGGCAGGGGGCAGAACCACTGAGCTAAATCCCTGGCCCGAGAGTCTGAATCTTTTTTTTTTTTTTGGTATCAGGGATTGAACTCGGGTCCTTGAGCTTGTGTAGCAGGCGACAAAACCACTGAGCTAAATCCCTGGCCCCTGTTATTTATTTTTCTTTTCCAATTGCCCTGGATAGAACCTTCATTACACTGTTGAATCTTGGGGAGAAAGCGTTTAGTCTTTCACCATTAAACATGATATTAGTTGTAGGCTTTTCATAGATGACCTTTTTCAGGTTGAAGAAGTTTCATTCTATTCTTAGTTTTTAAAATGGTTATATCATAAAGGGATATTAGATTATGTTAAATTCTTTTTTCTGTGTCTATTGAAATGATATCAGGTTTTTGTTCTTTCTTCTATTAATATAGTATAGCACACTGATTTTTATATGCAAAGCTAATTTTGCATTCTGGAATAAACCTCAACTGGTCATGGCATATAGTCCTTTTTATTGTTGCTGAATTTAGTTTGATAGTATTTTGTTAATGATTTTTGTATCTATATTTGTGAAAGATATTGGCTTATAGTTTTCTTTTGATGTTTTTGTCTGGTTTTGGTATCAAAGTGATATTGGCCTCATAGAATGCATTAGGAAGCATTCCTTCTTTTTCTGTTTTTTGGGGGGAAGAGTATAAAGAATTTATATTAATCATTTAAGTATTGGGTAGAATTTTTTTTCCAAAATTTTATTTTTATTAGGTTTTTTTTTGAGACAGGGTCTTGCAATGTAGTTCAGGCTTGCCTTGAACTCACTATATAGTCTAGGCTGGCCTTGAACTTGTGGTGATCCTCCTGCCTCAGCCTCCTGAATGCTGGGGTTACAGGTATACGCCACCATATCCAGCTATTTGTATTAGTACACGTTGGTTTATAATAATTACATTCATTTTGGAGAGTTGTTCATGTACATAATACATCAAAATTCTTTTTACCCCTCTCCTCCCATCTCTTGGTCAATATTGGGTAAAGTTTCTCAAGGAAGCAATCTGGCCCTAAGTTTTTCTTCATGTGAAGTTTTAAATTATAATTTAATCCCTTTACTTGTAATAGATCTACTCAGATTTACTATTGCATTTTGAATCAGTTATATTAATTCACATTTTTCCCAGAAATTTGCCCTTTTGATTCATTTAATTCATTAGCATATAGTTGTTCATAGTATTCTCTTATAGTTCCTTTTATTTATTTAAAATAAGTAGTAACATTCTTTTTTCTTCCTGATTTTGGTCATTTTAGACTTTCTTTTTTCCTTGGCCAGTCCACATAAAAGTTACAATAGTATTTTATCTATAGTACTTACATATGTTGAACTTGCTTAAATAAAAGGATTAAGGGGTGGGGATTTAGCTCAGTGGTTCCACCACCTGCTTCACAAGCACAAGGTCCCGACTTTGATCCCCAGTATCAAAAAAAAAAAAAAAAAGTAAATACAAGGATTAAACATTCCTGAAGATATTTTCTCCTTCTTTCCTGTTCTTCTCAGGATGTAACTTTCCCCTTCTCTCTCTATTGCAGTTGTAAAGATCGTTCTTTCCTTCTTTTATTCCCTTAGTTCTGCTCACCCTTGTCTTTGTAATACAAGGATAAAATTTCTGTTTCATATTCCTAAATCTAATCAAGGGGTCCACTGATGCACTCTTCAGATTCCATATGTGTTTCTCTGGTGTTTTTGTTATCTTGTGTAGCCCAAGTGACTTCAGTCCTGTCATTTCAAATAATTACAATTCAAGAACTCACTTTATTTCAAAAAGGTGTTTTGTGTTTCATATTTACAAATTTTGTTTTGTAGATGCCATTTGACTTCATAGTTTACAGCAGAATATACAACTACACAATTGTATATATTATACAACTATATTCATACTATAGTCGTATTCAGACAGTCACAATTTGTTTCTGGAAGAATTTTGGAGATTATCTATCCCAGAGATTCAGCAGTAGCCATTCTGTGTCAATCAGTTGCTGCCAGATGGGAAGAAGTACAAAATATCATGAGTCTTCCAAATGAACAAATAAACTCAAAAAACAAAAATGCAAACAAAAACCTGAATATCTGTGGGAAATTTCCAAATTTTTAAATGATAGCAATGAAGTAAAAACTCTTAGAGCTATACTAAGATTTGGGACTATGTTCTTTGAGTTTGTTTCCCGCTTTATCTTCAGTATGCCGTGGATTGGTGAAAATGTTGCTTAAAGAGTTTAGTTGAAGAATTCTAGGAGACTGAGTGTCTTGTTAGATCTGGAGGCTGATATAGACAAGGAAAAGTTATTAGCTTCAGCATTTTAATATAAATAGTGGCTGTTTGGAACAAGATTGGTATTAAGATGCTATGTCTGGAGACTTTCTTCTGTCTTTAAGCTTTTATGCTTGATGAACCAGTCATTTATAAAGTTGACTTTTCGATGCCTTTATGTTATCCCTGGGAATTGTTCCTTCTACTCAGCTAGAAATTGGGGAGATACTTTAAAATTAAGCATCCATTCTCCTATTCAGCTCAAGTTTTAAGGATTGGTGTCTTCTGGAAGTGAAAGCATGCTGGCAATTTGACCTTCAAGAAGAAAGGCCTGGGAGGCATGTCCAGCACCATTATTTGAAGCACAGCTCTCAACATATTTTAAGCCATACTTGGAAGTGACTAAAAATATTCACATTTTAAGAAGTGAAAGCAGATGCCTTGTTTTTGAGATAGAGATAATATTTTTTTTCTCTTTCACCTTGCCTGATCTCAAGATTTGATTTTTTTTGTTAAACAGAAAAAGAAAAAAAAGGAGCTTGGTGGAACATTTTCTCTCTGAAGAATTTTGAACTCTTTACAGATGATTGGCATAGTACTCAGTTTCCTGATATCTTTTTTAAGATTTCCTCCCTGAGGAAACTGTCTCACAGAGGAAGAATGAAGCTTCTGACCACATCCTGATGTCCTGGAGTGTGGTTGAGCAGCCTTTTTCAGGTCTCAGGAAAAGGCGAGGTAAAGTTGGCTCCTAACACTTTTTTTAACCTGTAGACTTACAGCAAGAAGTTTTGAACCAAGACAATTATGTGTGTAAATATCTTTCTCCAAGTAAGTCAGGAGGTCCTTTCAAGAAAAGACCAATTAACAGTGGAAATGAAAATCCTAAACATTTGGCCTAGAAGATGACAAATGCTGGAGAACTCTAATACTATAAATGTACTGTAGGAATCTCTCTAGATTGAAAGTACTGAAGTACTTTTGAAAGACTGAAGTACTTTTACACCCTTGCTCATGACTTCTCCGTTATACTCCATTTAAGTAATGTAGATTTATTTTCCTCTTAGTAAATAACATTTTATAGATCAGTAGGTAACTATGAAATTATTTTGAAAATTAGCTACTAGCAAGTACATATCATGTATGAAGAAATATCATTTAGGCAGATGGACTCAGTTTAAAATTGAGACTTGCCTGAACAACAGCAATTTCAGAATGACAAATTAATTCCATGTGGAACTCTACCAAACCTTTAGGCACCGAACAGACCATGGTGTAAATGCTTTATGTGTACGTCATATTTGATGAGATGGCTGGCCTTTCTAATAAAAAGTGAGTCCAGAGGCTAGACATCTGCTGTTGTTTTTTTGGGAAATACATTGTCAGATTGCAGCATATAGAAAAGTGATGATTGTCACCCTCTTTAGCTCAGATTTCTCCCAGGAGCATATTATTATCTGGTCTCCTGTTAAAACAATGTCAAACAATAATAATAAAAAATAAGCCTCACAATTTTCCAAATGTATCATTCTCAGTTAGTTGCTCCTAAGTAATATGACTTCTGACCTCTAACTTTGGGAAACTGTGGTTTCTTTTTTTCTCACTCCTGTAAGGTAAACTGCTCAAAGGGAAGAGAAAGATGTGTGTTTTTCATATGCTGATTTCCCTTTATCATTTTCTTTTATTTATGTAAAATAACCATGTATTTATTCTTCTGGAAGTAACTTACTCCATTTCAGTTTGGTTTAAAATTTTTTTTTATTATGTTGAAGTCTTCTTTATAGTTAACCATCAGAGTCTTAGTTTTACTTTTATAAACTTTAAGATCTGTGAATTCAAATTATTATTATTCTCTTATTCATTGTCAATATCCTTTAGGTGTTTAATCTCCTGGAGCTTCAAAATGCTTAAATTGATGAAGGTATTATGTGTAACATTGGCTTAAATCTACCACCACAATTTTAAATTTGAGATGTTTGGTTTGTGAAGTTAGGGTGAATGTGATTGGATCCATACATTTTAGCCTTTCAGGCCAAGGTCAGTAGGTCAGGGTGGCAAAGGGCTGCTGGTGTGCAATCACCTCTTCAGTCTAGAAAATTTCTTCCCCCAGTTCCTTTGTATATTTGTCAAATCCTACTTTCCTTCAAGCATCTTGGTACATTGGCGGCATTAATTATGTGTTCTCTAAGCTTTTTATGTTGATGCACAATGAAAAGCCTCTTTCATACTATGTTTCTTTAAATACAGGAAGATTTAAATGGATATTCGGGACCATGCTTTCAATAACACCTTGAAGAGACTTTCCCCAAATAGCTATTGTCAAAGAGAACCCACTGAGAGCTGTGTTAAAGGAGGGGAGTGTGAAGCAATTTATATCAATGAAAAAAATTTAAACTATTGAAATCACTGTATTGTTCATCAACCAGAGGAGACTGTTATTTTGAAGGCCTCTTCCAGAGACTGAACTGCCATTTGGCTGAATTGTCTTGGGCTCACTGTGAGTGGATCTCTGCCTGTAAAATGAAATCTCTTTGTTTCTTGTAGTTATAAATTTTTGTTCTTTCATGATAAATCTAGCCCAAAGACATTTCTTTACAGTAAATTTGTCCGAAGTGCTCGTAAACAGTATCTGCTTCCATTACCTGTGGTAGAACCCAGTTTGAGCATTTTGTAAAGTAAGCATATGCACTGAGAATCAATATGTATTTTATTAGCAGCAAGAGACTCATTGGATTGATTTTTTTTCTTTTTACCTTTATGGGCAATTGCTATAAAAAGGTAAATTAAAAAGTTAACCATCTGCTGCCTCACTTTTCATTTAAAGTCTTTTATTTGATTACTCTTTTCAGGTAATCAATGCTTTCTATTTTGCTATTATGCTCTCTGGTGAATGAAGGTGGTTTTAATTTATAGCTTTTATTTATCTAACAGTATTGTCAGAGTCACAATCTTTATGCAGCCTATTAGTAGTGTGAAAAATATTTCTTACTACATCGAAACAGAACAAAATTCAATTTAGAAATATAATTTCCTGCCATGGAGACACTTGATAACAGGGAGGAGATTAATGGAGCCCAGTGACAGAAACTTGATTTAAAGAAGGAGATTAATACTACTTTATCAGCCTACACTGCAAGTGAATTGGCTCCAAAAGAAAAAAAAACCTGTTTGAAGTTGCTGAGTTGTCTGCTTGTCGGTCGAAATGTCTCTGGACATTTATTTTGTTATTGCTGAGTATTTGCTGCATGCTTGTCTATTTGACAACATAGGAACAAACCTGCACACAACACCAGACTTGCTTATTTTACAGTAGTAACATGTTTCTTATTATTCCTTTTGATCCCACAGGAAGTTTGAATGCTATGGAGGTCAGCTTCTGACTTAAGAGGATTATGTGCAGTAAATCATGTCAAAATTAACAAATAGAATTGTGCTGACACTCCAGTTTGGTTGGATTTAAGTAAAATGTTTAAATGGTATTTTTAATTGCAAAGCTCTTGCCCCTAAGTCCCATTACAAATATTTTTTTCTATCCTTCACAGAAGTCATTAATTTCCTTTCCCATCTGTAAAAATGTGAATCTTCCAGAAGAATTTAAAGCAAATCTGAAGAATTTAAAGCAAATCTCAGTAGGTTGAAAACCCCATTATATATGTTGTGAAATAAACTATAGAGCTTGCTGAACTCTTAGAAATGAGTGCTAACAAAAGTGGGTCCAAATTTTGATTTTGATTCTCAGGAAATTAAAGCATTCCTATTGCTGGACTTAAATTTTTTAAAGTTGCTCTTGAACTATGTGAATTTTAAAACTTTGTATTTGTCTGAGAAATTCCTCCTGGAAAATAAAGAAGGAATACTTTCTTAGATGCTAGCTTTATGGCTGGGCATTTTTCAAAGGTTTGAATTATAAAATTAATAGCCTACAGACAAATTACTCAGTTACCTATCACTGAGGGAAAGAGATATATTTTAAAACTTTGTTTTTACTGACTTTGTAATTTTGTAGGAATGAATTGAAAAAATATTTTGTATTAATTTTATTAAGTTCTAGAATGAAAAGTATTTTGTCAGAAATGAGAATATCTTGGTTCTTGTTCAAGGTCATTTAACAATTTTCTGTCTTCTTAGGTTCATTTTAAAACCACTTTCTGTTTCTAAAACAGCTGAATAGTAATAATAAAAGTTGCTTTACTATAATCCATTTCACCTAAGATAACATTTATGTATATAGACTACTTCAAATATTTGCATTTAGGATTTTCTTGGGGAAAATAAATAATATTGCAAGCCTCTACTTTAATTTTGTCTTGATGTAACTGAGACTTCAGTATTTCTTGCAATTGATCCACTGAAGATTGTTTACATTTTCAAAAATATATGAAGATAAATGGCCTGTAGTTAGTTTCTCTTTGGAACTAAACATATGAAATAACTGATGTCAGAGAAATTTAGAGCCACTTTGATTTGTTATTGCGGGCTCCTGATACATTTAAAAAAGGAATGATAATGAGGGTCATGATGGTCAACCTCATGAGCATGAGTTCCAAGGACTCCAAGCCAGGTGCTCTGGGTGATATTCTCATATCCCCCATGTAGCCTCTGCAGGCTTCATTAGCTTGTTGATTCTGTTTGGTGCTTTAAGAGAATAAGTCTGCAGGGAATATTAGGTCCTATTAAAACTCTTTTCCTGTCTCAAAGCCACACATCAAACTCCCAGGCAAACCATCTTTAAGTGGCTAAATATTCACTCAGAGGGGAAGGGGTTTAAAATTATTTTCAAGCCATAGAACTTAGCATAGAGGAAAACCTAAAAGGGTTTTTAATTTCAATGAATGTGAAAATGCTTTTCTTTTCCCTTGTTTCACTGATCCAGAGAGACCTTGGGTGAATATGTCCCTTTGACCTTTTCCTAGTCATGCAATTACCCTCATCCTTTTTCTCTTGTGCACTTCCTTTCCCAAATGGCCTTTCCTTTGGTGATGCAGTTTCAGTGCCTACTCCAGACACTGCCACTTGGATTAAATTTAATTCCCTCCATTCTGACTTTGCTGTGGCCCTCAACTGCACTGCACTCCTGGGAGCCGGGCTGGGTTTTTCCTGATATTTACAGCATCTTAATCTATTTATGAGCATTTCATTTTTCCATCCTTGGGAATATAGTATTGAAGATTTTACTTCTTGTTTTTTTTTCTTTTTTTAACTTCCTCCTCTTTGCACTGAGAGTGGGAATTTGGGACCAACAGTAGCAGGTATGAAGATTATATAGACTGTGTCAGGCAGCTCAACCATGGTTTTGAGTTGAGTTGGCAAGTCATACTCAAGAGAAACAACAGGATTTAATCTAATACTACTTTTGCTTAGTTTTCCAGAAGGAAACAAGATAGCAGACATAGCAAGGAGACAGAGCATGTCAGGTCGTGAGTAGGCCCAGCAGCTACCCTAGTTACAGCTTTCTTTGCCCCTTCACCCACACTCGGTCAAATGTGGGAGCCAAGGTGTGGGGTAACCTTGTCACAGAGAGGCCATGTCCCCCTACTCCACCAATCTTGCATATGGTTTTCATTAAGCCTGAGGCCTGCAGGCCAGCTCCCAGATCCCCTAACCCAGGTTTTTGTTTCACACAATAAGGAATGAGAGGCAACTGTTCTCCATTTATCTTAACTCTACTGTTTCCAAGGAAACAGGGCCATGGGACACAAGATCATTCTTAGCTAAGGGCTGATGTTAACCC